GATGGCCGCGAAGACGTTGAAGATGACGAACGCTCCGGTCGACCCAGCACGTCAACAAACGATGAAAATGTGAAAGAAGTGGAAAAAATGGTTATGAATGATCGCCGAATCACAATTAGAGAAGTTGCTGATGAAGTTGGCATATCAATTGGCTCATGTCATAACATTTTTTCAAATGTTTTGGGCATGAAACGAGTGGCAGCAAAATTCATTCCAAAACTGCTAAATTTTGACCAAAAAAGCAATCGCATGAACATCACTCAAGAGCTGTTAAATGACGTCAACAACGATCCAAGTTTGCTTGAAAGGGTCATAACTGGTGATGAAACATGGGTGTACGGTTATGATGTCGAAACCAAAGCCCAATCGTCCCAATGGAAGAGCCCAGGTGAGCCAAGACCGAAAAAAGCACGTCAAGTTCGATCGAATGTCAAGGTTTTGCTTACTGTTTTCTTTGATTATAACGGCATAGTGCATCAAGAGTTCTTACCACAAGGTCGTACGGTTAATAAGGAGTATTACTTTGAAGTGATGCGACGTTTGCGTGAAGCAATCCGAAAAAAACGCTCCGATTTATGGAAAAACAATTCATGGCTGTTGCACCACGATAACGCACCTGCTCACTCGTCGTTGCTTGTTTGTAATTTTTTGGCCAAAAACAATACCGTAGTCATGCCCCAACCTCCATATTCACCAGATATGGCTCCGTGTGACTTTTTCCTATTCCCAAAGTTGAAGAGACCCATGAAAGGACGGCGGTTTTCCTCGATTGAAGAAATAAAGGCCGAATCGCTGAGAGTGCTCAAGGACATATCAAAAAGTGAATATCAAGGGTGCTTCGAAAATTGGAAAAAACGCTGGCATAAGTGTATTATATCTGGGGGGGACTACTTTGAAGGGGACCACATTAATGTAGACGAATAAATAAATATTTTTTTGAAAAAACGAAAATTCCGGGTACTTTTTGAACAGACCTCGTATAATGAATTAAATGTATTATAATGAATGTTAATGTCAACGCTCTTAAGCATTATTTGTTAAAAATCATTTCCATATTGTGCTCAATTTTGTGTTAATATTTCTAAGAAAAAAATATACAACCATGTACAACTAGAATTTTTTTAAAACTAAATATTATAAAATTATCAAAGCGAGTTAGTTCGATAGATGTCTCTGCGCCCGCTAAGAGTGTCTTATCCCTGTTAACTTGATAGGATGTGGCTATGTACGGGAACGTAGAGTCCAGGAGAGTCTATGTTATCTTGATTAATTGGCGATAAATATAATTTGTTTTTGATGTGTAATGTGAGAATAATAGTTTAAAGAAGCGGCTTAATAAGAATCAGTTATAATACAGTATTAGTGGAAGATATTGGTATTATTCAGTTATAGTTTTAGTATAATTTGAGAGTGAGATTGAGTGATTCACATTATCCAGCGGGTTATAATATTTAGGATTTTCTTTTATCGTGCCACGATGCCACGAATTCGCAGAGGGGCAAGTAATTTTGGAAGACGTACACGGCAAGCTCGAGCAATCTATGAACGAAGATTGAATAGGACCCATGAACAACATATGATGGACAATATAAATTTGAGAGAGCAAGTAGCAAATACACGTGCCAATGAAAGTTTAGAGAGACGTACTCAACGACTGACAAATATGGCATTAAGAAATCGAGAGGTGCAACAAAGTGCGACCGCCGCCATTAGAGAAAATAATCAACGACGAGTTAATAATCACAGAGCATTGGTACGTGCATCACTTTTGCGCCTGGCGTTTAATTATGGTCCTGAAATTGATTATTCATCACACTCTTTAATTACCATTGGTAATATGGACAAAGTATGTAAACATTGCCATGCTCTAAAATTCAGAGGAGAATCAGCAGGTTTATGTTGCGCATCAGGGAAAATTATATTGACAAAATTAACAACACCACCGGAACCTTTAAAAACTCTACTAGATGGAACAACGTCTCAATAAAAAATATTACTAAAAAAAATTCGCAAATTTAATTCATGTTTTCAGATGACGTCATTTGGTGCTACGAAAGTATTTGAAAATGAAGATGGTCGAAATTTCGAATCAACATTTAGGATACAAGGTCAAGTTTACCACCAAATCGGTTCATTGTTTCCCATGCCTGATGTGAATCCGAAATTCTTACAGATTTATTTTATGGGAGATGATGAACGACAAACAAACATGCGTTGCGAATTTAATCACATACAGCTTATGGAGGAAAGAGATATTGTGAACTCTTTGGAAATATTTTTTAAAAACCATAACCAGTTATTGCATTTGTTTAAGACTCTTTCAAGTAGACTAGAAAACGATGATTACGCTATTATTATTAGAGCAGACAAAGTGCCGGTGGAGAACATGCTGGCGCATATAATGTTCCAACAGTCAATGAAGTCGCGGTCGTAATAGCTGGTGATCTATGTGAGGGGCGTGATATACGTAACAACGGAGAGATAATACCATACAGATTATACAGGACAGTCATCGTTCTTATGATGCTTTGCAGTATCCATTGATATTTTGGAAAGGTGAAGATGGGTACCATTTAAATATTAAACAAAGGGATCCAAATACAGGTAAAAATCTTATTTTTATAAAAAAAATCAAATAATAATAATTAAAATAATTTTAATATATTTTATTCCAGGTGCAGAACTTGCCAAAAAAGTAAGTGCCATGGATTTTTACTGCTACCGATTAATGATTCGAGCGAATGAAGAAAATAACATTCTTAAATGCAGGCAGCTATTCCATCAGTTCGTGGTCGACATGTATGTGAAAATTGAGAGTGAGAGATTGAGATTCATAAAGTTTAATCAAGCCAAACTCCGCGCTGAGGAATATATACATTTACGTGATGCAGTACTTGGTAATGTAGATGCAATGAATGATATTAGTCAGATTGGTACTGCATATATTTTTCCATCTTCTTATATTGGAAGTCCGCGACATATGCAGGAGTACATTCAAGATGCTATGGCTTATGTTCGTGCATATGGCAGACCAGATCTGTTCATTACCTTTACGTGTAATCCCAAATGGGATGAAATAAAAAAATTGCTGATGCCGGGACAAACAACGATGGATAGGCATGATATAACTGCACGAGTTTTTAAACAGAAGTTGAAATCATTGACTAATTTGATAACGCATCATTCTGTTTTTGGTGAAACACGCTGCTGGTTATACTCAGTAGAATGGCAGAAAAGAGGTTTACCCCATGCACATATTTTGTTGTGGTTAATCAATAAGGTACGTTCTGTAGAGATTGACAATATTATCTCAGCAGAAATTCCTGATAAAAATGTTGATGAGGAATTGTTCGATATTATAACTACTAACATGATACATGGTCCATGCGGTACTCTCACCATTATGTCACCATGCATGGTGAATGGAAAATGTACAAAACATTTTCCAAAATCATTTCAAAACGATACTATCACCGACATTGATGGTTACCCCGCTTATCGGCGACGTGACGTTGACAATGGTGGACAATGTTTTGAATTGCGACTGTCGAATGGCGGGGTAATAGATGTTGATAATCGATGGGTAGTTCCTTATTCGCCTTTGCTATGTAAAACCTATAAAGCACATATAAATGTCGAACTGTGCAGCTCGGTGAAGTCGATAAAATACATATGCAAATATGTTCATAAAGGGAGCGACAAAGCGGTATTTGCAATTAAAAGTATTAATGAGAATGATGAAATAACTCGATATCAAATGGGTAGATACGTCAGTAGCAATGAAGCTATCTGGCGTATTTTTGGTTTTCCCATACATGAAAGAAATCCATCTGTGGTACATTTGGCTGTGCATTTGGAGAACGGTCAGCGGGTATACTTTACAGAAAACAATATATTACAACAAGCTTTGACTGCTCCGAAGACTACTCTAACTGCATTTTTTAAACTTTGTAATAGATCAGATATTGCTGGAAGATTTGCTAGAACATTATTATATACAGATACACTAAATATTTTACATGGGATAAAAAATTAAAAGATTGGGTACCTAGAAACGAGGTATTCCTGTTTCAGGATTCGAAGGCATATATATGACAAACAATTTGGATAGATTGTATACTGTTCATCCTAAGCAACGAGAATGCTTTTATTTACGTTTGTTGTTGATTAATGTTGTAGGACCAAGATCATTCCAAAATTTGAGGACAGTCAATGGAATTTTATATGAAACTTTTTATGATGCGTGCCGTGAGTTGCACTTATTGGAGAATGATAATCAATGGGACATGACTCTTGCAGATGCAGCACTGATTTCATCTGCACATCAAATTCGACAATTATTTGCAATAATATTAGCAACATGTTTTCCATCAGATGCATCTGCACTGTGGAATATACATAAAGACCCAATGAGCGAGGATATTTTGCATCGGTATAAAATTAATAATCAAGATAATAATCATGAATTTTCAGAACAATATATAACGAAGCCTTAATAATGATTGAAGATATATGTATCCAAATTTCGAACATGTCGTTAATTCAATTTGGCATGTCAGCACCGAGCCGAGCAGCAGTAGATATCATAAACAGCGATGTTCAACGTGAACACCAGTTTGATAAAACTGCTCTAGCTACTTTTGTTGCTAATAATGAAATATTGCTTACTGCCGAGCAACAAAGTGTAATATGATCAAATCAATACGTCAATTGAGGCACAACAGGGCGGATTCTGTTTTTTGGACGCACCCGGAGGCACTGGCAAAACATTTATTATTTCACTGATTCTTGCGCGTGTGCGGTCGCAAAATAATATTGCGTTGGCAATAGCTTCATCAGGAATTGCAGCGACATTACTTGAAGGAGGACGAACTGCGCATTCGGCATTTAGTTACCTTTAAATTTCATGCAAACCCAGAAGCAATGTGCAACATGAAGAAGAAATCAGGAATGGCGAAAGTTTTGCGAAATGTGAAATAATCATCTGGGATGAATGTACTATGGCGCATAAGCATTCGCTTGAAGCTCTTGATAGGTCGCTGAAAGATATCAAAAATAATTGTCTTTTTGGTGGCTGCCTATTGCTACTGTCTGGCGATTTCAGACAGACATTGCCCATTATTCCACGAGCGACGCGTGCTGATGAAATAAATGCCTGCTTAAAAAAGTCTTATCTGTGGCGCCACGTAAAGAAATTATATCTTAGTGTTAACATTCGTGTTCAATGTCTAAATGATGCACTGGGGTCGAAATTTTCACAACAATTATTGGATATTGGTAATGGCAGAATTAATTTTTATGAAAATACAGAGTACATTCGATTCCCTGATAATTTTTGTAATATGGTTGATAGCAAAGCCAAGCTAATAGAAAATATTTTTCCAAATTTAAAGCATAATCATAAAGATCATGAGTGGCTACAAGAACGAGCAATTTTAGCAGCAACGAATTTGGATGTTGACGAAATGAATTTAAAAATACAACAGATACTGCCAGGATATGAATTTACATTTAAATCAGTTGATACTGTTATTGATCCTGATGAAATCGTCAATTATCCAGTCGAATTTTTAATTCTCTTGATTTACCAGGAATGCCGCCGCACAAATTACTATTGAAAGTTGGTTCTCCAATTATATTATAAGAAATTTAAATGCCCCAAAATTATGCAATGGCACAAGATTAGCAATAACAAATATTATGGAAACATTATAGAGGCAATTATTCTGGGCGGAAAATTCAAAGATGATGTTGTTCTTTTGCCTAGAATACCACTAATTCCTTCGGAATCAGTAATACCTTTTAAAAGACTGCAGTTTCCTATACGTTTGGCATATGCTATGACTATAACAAGTCACAAGGGCAGACAATGAACTTTTGCGGTATAAATTTAGAAAATCCGTGCTTTAATCAGGGCGCTATATGTTGCTTGCTCAAGAGTCAGAAACCCAAATAATTTATATTTATACACCAAACCCAATAATCTCACCAAGAATATTGTATATCCTTTGGCATTGCAATAAACTCTACTGCATTAAAAGTTTAAAATAAAAAAAGAATTATATACTATA